GGCCCGCGAGCCGCGGCTGCCGGCGCCGGCGCTCGGGCGCGCGGTGTGGGCGGCGGGGCGGCTGCGGCTGTGGGGCTCTGGCGCTGCAGGCGCCGGCGGTGACGCTTCCGCCGCCGTCGGCGGCGACGATGATCTGGCAGACCCCTCTGTCCTCCTGACTCGCGCCCTGGAGCTGCTCACAGAGTGGCGAGCCCCCCAACTGATCCAGTTCCTCTCCGGCGCCGCGCGCCTGCGCCTCGCGCCCGGCCAGGCGTGGCTGCGCGCCGTCGCGGCGGCGCCCGCGCTCGCGCGCCCGTCGGCGCTCGGCGGCGAGCGGCTCGTGCTCCTGTTGTCGGCGCTCGCGGCGCTCGGGTACGCGCCGCCCGCGGGCTGGGTGGATGCGATGGACACAGTTCTTCAGGCGAGCTATGTCGAGGGCCCCTCGATGGCGGCGGCGGCGCGGTCGGCGCTCGCGGAGCTGCGCGGACGCGAGGCGCCGTCCGGCGCCGGGGGCGGCGGCAGGGGCTGACGCGCCCTGCAAGTCGCGTCGTGTCGGCCGCGCCTTGAAACGCGTGGGCCCGAGGGTCGCCGGCAGCTGCATGCAACAGGCAAATCGCTGCGATTTCTGTCACTGCATGGATTCCGTCAACCTGCTCGTGTTGTGATGTCATGCTTGGGCTTGGGGGGTGGTGATTGCTGCCTGACGACCACACCTGTGAATCGCTATGCACCGCCTGCACAGCTCCATTGTATATTCATCCCCTGGTCTTCCCGATTCTTTTGTACCAGTCATGTACATTACTAATGACTCTGTTACCTCCGACGTTGCACTCCGGCACCCATAGACCCATGCGGTTCACCAGTGCTTCGCATGCGCGCGCCTGCAAGAGGGGGTGGCGCGGCCCAGGCGGGCGGGGCGCGGGCCATGCAACGGGGACGGCCCAGGCCCCTCCTCGCGGCCCTCACGGGGGCGCCTGGCGTATAGTAAAGTAGCGGACAGTGCACTGATGCATGCGCCGCGGCAAAGGTGCCTGGGCGCGCGAAACTCACGAGGGCCGGGTGGGCAGTGCAAGCAGTGGCGGACCCAAGCTGCGGCGCGCGGCGGCTGTCTGAAGGGGAAGGTCAAAAAGACAGGAGGTCCACAGGCATGGGTGGACGCCGGCGAGCGTGCCAAAGCCCTGGCCAAGAAAAGCAGCGCCGGGCAGCGCGCCGCAAGAGTCTGCGCCGCGCTGACTCGGCACGCGTCGGGCGAGCGGGTCGCCGAGGCGGGCTGCTGTGCGGCGCCATCACGCGGCACGGGCGACGGGGGTGGCGCGCCGTGCGGGCGACGGCCAAAGTTGCTTTGGGCGAAAGGGGCGCTCCCAGCCAGGATATGCGGGGGGTGGTTGATGCCGGCATTCCCTCTCCTCAAAACCCGGACAACCCGGACAAGTGGCGCCGCAGGCCCCGCCCCGGGCGCGCGCACGACAGACCTGGCAGGAGCGGCAGCCTGGGGCCGGCCACCTGGCGCCAGCGCTGACCAGCTGCGGCTGAGGCGTGGCGTCAGAGCTGCGTGCGTGATTAGCATCGTTGGGCTGCTGTCAGGCGGCCGCCAGCCAGGGGCGGAAGACCGTTGCCGCTGCATTGGGGACACCGCCTCCCAAGCCACGACGGCGCGCGGCCAGTCGGCGGCTAGAAGACAGTCTCTACCATCTTTGCCGCGGCGGGTGTTCTCTTTTCTGGCCCGATGACTGCGCCCCCCGCGCGGCCCACGGCCACCGGCGCGCGATTGGTCCGAGACGCGAGTGCGCGCTGCGCGCGCTCCGCCCGCGAGTCAACAACCGGTGACGAGCATGGCTGCTGCGATGCTGGGTCAAAAAGTGGCAAATGCGCCCGCTCGCCGCGCACGCCGTCGGCGGCGGCGGCGCGGCCTACCCAAAAATATCAAAAAGAAGCCCGTGTCCCCTGGATGTCATGGAATATCTACTGTGTGCAGCAGGCCCGCCTGTGGGACGAGGAAAAGCTCCTGCCAAAAGATCCACGGAGGTGATGCGCAGCGGCACAGTGCGGTGCAGCGCCGCAGGCGTCGCACGCGCACGTGCGGGGCCGCGGGGCCGCGGGCTGCCGCCGTGCCCGCTGCGGCCCCCGCCGCGGGCGCCTCGCGCTCACATCTCCATGTCCGCGCCGCCGCCGCCGCCCGCGGCCTGCTGCAGCGCGGGCGCGAGCGCCCCCGCCAGCGCTAGCGGCGTCTCCCCGTTCTTGTTCGCCGCCGCCAGGGACGCGCCGCGCGACGCCAGGTACACCGCCGCGTTGGCCTGCTGGCACGCGACCGCCACCAGCAGCGGCGTCGCGCCGGCCTTGTCGTGCGCGTCGATGCGCGCGCGGCCCTCCTCCACCAGCACGCGCGCCGCCTCGAGCCGGCCGGTAGCTGCCGCGCGGTGCAGCGGCGTGGAGCCGGTGCCGTCCCTGGGGTCGACCTTGCTGCCGGCGGAGAGCAGCAGCCGCACGATGCCTGTGTGGCCCTTGCTCGCCTGCGAGGGGCGCGCGCGCATGCATGCATGCGTGTGTGTATGTCAGTGTTTGTGTGTGTCAGTATGTGAGCGTGTCTATGCGCGTGTGTGTGTGTGTGTGTGTGTGTGTGTGTGTGTGTGTGTGTGTGTGTGTGTGTGTGTGTGTGTGCGCGCGTGTGAGCGACTTTGCACACGCACGCACATCGTTTCTCCATCAACTTGTACCAACTGAACCGTGGGGCCGCTCTGCCCAATGCAAGGCCTGACAGTGGCCGTCGTTGGACAGCGGCCGTTGTTACACACGGCGTGGAAACCAGGTGGTTGGCGGCCGTGGCATGCGGGCGCACGGGGCCCTGGAGGGCGTCGCGCGGGGCGGGCGGGCGCACCGCGTAATGGAGTGCCGTCTGGCCGCTGCTGTTGACCGCGTCTGCCGTCGCGCCCAGCGACAGCAGCGCGGCGACGATGGCCTCGTAGCCGGCGCTGGCCGCAGAGTGCAGGGGCGCCCAGCCCTGGCAGGCATGACAGGTGGCGGGCGGGGCGCGGCGGGGCGGGGCGGCGGGCGCGTTGGACGGGGGCGCACGCGTGCTGCTGCCCGGCTCGTCGGGGCACATCTCTTGGCGGCCGCCCCATGATTGGCGGCGTCCGCGCAGTCGGCGTGAGGGCATGCAGGCAGCGGGGGGCATCCTGTTAAAATGGTGCTACCACGGCTGCTGGTAATGCCGATCCCCGCAATCTAGAGGCCAAGCGAGAGGCGCTGCGCCGTTGCACAATGTGGCGGCGCACCTCGTCGTCCTGCTTGTTAGCGACCTTGCCGGCGCCCGCGTTGGCGAGCAGCTGCAGCAGCTGCAAATGGCCGTTGGCGGCTGCCGTGTGCAGCAGCGTGCGGCCGTCCTCGTCCTTGGCAGTGACTAGGAATTCGAGCTCCGCCGGCGCGAGGCCGCCAAAATACGGCACGTCCCCGACGCGTGCGCGCGCCGAGGCCTCGTACATGGCTGCTGTAGTGAAGGCTCGGCTGGCGGCCGGCGGGGCTTGTGCGGGGCGCGCCGCCGGCGCGTGGGGGGTCCTGGGGCAGGAGCGCGCCACGCAGGTGGGTGCGTGTCTTCTCGCCCGGCAGGCCAGCTAGAGCTGGGTGGAGGATGAGGCGGCCTGCTTTAGACTATATGATGCAGTTAGTTACGCAGGAGCGGTCCGTGGAGCGTCCTAGCGCGGCGATTGCGACGGCCCCTGTGATTGGAGGGTCGGGAAATTTGAACTTGAGCGTTCTGCGCGCGGGGTTCGCCGATTGTTATATAAATTCGGATTGAATGGCGGCAGTGAGTGTGAGGACGTGAAGAAAAGAGAGTTGTGTCAATAGCAGCAGCCGTGCGTCGAACGCGTTTGCGGCTTTGTGTATGCGCTAATGGCGAATTCAAGAAGCAACCTATCCATATTAGTTGATGCCACAAGTCTTTTGTCCTCACCCACCCGTGGTCACTTGCATGCGATAGATCTGTCATTTTGACATAAAGAACATCTCATTCGTCACACTGGACCCTCTCGGTTCCTGCTAATCTGGTGGTTTCCTGTTACTGTAGTCTGAAGAGGTTCAAGACTGGAGACCCTACAGTCGGCCCTGAGAAGGCTGGCGCAGTGATCTGGAGCCGCTGGCCGACGGCCCGGCGAGTCCGCAGCCCAACAAACAAAGTTTGAATCGTTTCTTATAGAATCCTGACGAAGGAGGGCGCCTGAGGGACTGGGATGATGAAGAGAGCGGTGTTCTCAGGGCTGGCAAGGCTCGGTGGGTCTCTTTGGAATGCAGGACGCGTGGTGACCGTGGAACGAGGGCTACTTGGGGGTGCCAAAGAGCCGCTAGAGTTGTTCGCACCCGACCAGCCGTTGCAACTGTGCCGCCGCAGGGGTTGAGGGATGGGAGCGGCATTCCCTGACCGCGCACCGGTGCCTCATGCAATCTGCAGGTGCTGTCGCGGCGCGGGAAGATGCGGGTGGCAGGGGCTTCAGGCCCCTGCAGCAGCTCGTGAAGGTGTGCAAGCAGGGCGTCCGCTCTTTCTCTGTTGATTACAGCTGGATCGGCCAGGCCGCATTGGGCAGCAATCGCATCAAAGTCGACCTCTGCCTCGCTGCGTCGACAGCCTAATCGGTGCAGGCAACCTGTCTGCAGCTGCGGTGCCAGGCCTACGGGGCCCTTTACCCGGCCACCTGCGTGCTCCTCCCAGCCCCCCGGCGCACGGCAATCGCTCGCCCTCTGCAGAGCTTTGCGGCGGAGGCCAAGCCCCTGGATGAGATGCGCAAGCCCAAGGTGGGCGCCGCGCGCCTGTGCCGGCTCCGCGGCCGCAGCGCCGTGGCAGCCGGGGCCGCACTGTCAGCGGCGGGGCCTCTGGGACGCGCCTGCGCCTGGTCCTGTGCTTCGCAGCTCACCCTGATAACGCCGCCCCGGGCACCCACGTGCGGGGTGGGCCTTCCGCGCCCACTTTTAGCGATGCCTGGCAGCCCACCGTTGCCCCCCACGCCGTCGCATCCTGCTGTTGGGACCAGCCAATGCCTGCCGAAATGCGAAGCTGCGTGACTCATCTACACGCGCCAGACTATCATAGCTCACTGGTGGGGAGCAAACCCTGCGACATGACATCCCAACCCCCATGAACCAACGAGCAGTTCAGCAGCAAGTACCTGATCCAGCACATCAGCAACAAGCTGATCCCCGCGGTCAAGGAGTGGGAGAAGACCTACCAGCCGCCAGTCATCCACCTCGGCCGCGTGCTGTCGGTGGGGGACGGCATCGCCCGCGTCTACGGCCTCAGGTCAGAGGGCCGGGGGCCGCCGCCGCGCTGCTCCTGGCGTACCACGCGGCGCAGAGCCGCTCGCCGTTTGCCGCGCAGTGCTGTGTTGAGACGGTGCTCGATGCTGCTGCTGCGGCGGCGCACCCCGGCGCGAGCCGATGGCAGGGCGGCAGGTTTGACCGCGTGGCGGGGTGCTCTAGAGCAGCATGCGGCACGCCAGGTTTCTGACCCGCACTGCCATGCTACCTGCGTCCCTCCAGGAGCGTCCAGGCGGGCGAGCTGGTGTGCTTTGACAGCGGCGTGAAGGGCATGGCCCTGAACCTGCAGCACGACCACGTGGGAGTGGTTATCTTCGGCCAGGACCACGCCATCCACCAGGGTGGGTGGTGGGGGCGGGTGGATGTGTTTGTGTGTTTGTGTGTGTGTGTGTGTGTCCTGGGCGTAAGGGCGATTTGGAGGAGGGGTGCGGGTCCACAAGGGCTGCAGTAGACACGATGAGGCAGGGCAGGCGAGACTGTCGGGCAGCTCAGCTGGGGCCTGCACCTCGCCTTTTACGCCCTGGGTCAACCCTGGTCAACGCTCCTTTGCACATCCAGGCGACCTGGTGTACCGCACCGGGCAGATCGTCAACGTGCCCATCGGCCCCGGCAACCTGGGCCGCGTGCTCGACGCCCTGGGCCAGCCCATTGACGGCAAGGGGCCGCTGACCAACGTGAGGAGCAGCCTGGTGGAGGTCAAGGCGCCCGGCATCGTGGCGCGCCAGTCGGTGCGCGAGCCGCTCTACACCGGTGAGTGGCGTGGGCGGGCCCGTTGGGTTGTGTGGAGTTTGGTTGGTCTACCTGCAAATGGGTAGGATCCAAAAAAGGGAACAGTGAGGCTGCACATCTGGACTGCCCGCGGCAACGCGGCGTTTGTTTGTGCACTGTCCGGTCAGCATTGGCGTCCCGACGGGCTGCAAGGGCTGTCACGGGAGGCGCCACGCTACGCTGTGTCACGTGGGTGAGTATGAAACATTTGTCGCCTCCTGCCTGACATCCC